TTCTAAAGGAGCAAGTGAAATGGCTGCAGTTGTCTGCCAATGATGTGGGTACGGAGCGTGCTTCTAACTGCTTGTCAGAAAGACCGCAGAGCAATTCTCAAAGGAAGATCTTGCAGAGCGATTCTTTCAAAAAGACAGGGTTAAACCATATGTGAGTAGACAACAGAGACCAGCAGCAACGATTCTCTTGCTTTACCTTTACCAGCGATCCTAACCCTGCCACAGCTCTACTGTCTCCACTGCCCTACCGTCCACTTATTGCAGAAGGCACGTGATGAGACGTTGAAGCACTACTTGATGAGTTCGGTGTTCAAACTTGATTTATTCGCAATGATTCCCACAGATCTCATTTACATCTACACTGGTCCTACACCAATCTGGAGACTGAATAAGCTGACAAAGGTAATTCACCGGCTTTTCTTCATTATCATCTTGACTTGTTCTACTGTTGTGCATTTCGAAATCTTTGAAGGGGCAATTTATTCAATCATCTAGCTTCGTAGCTGCCTTCGCCAAAGTTGGTGTTCTAGCGATCACCAAAGAGGAAGGAGGAGATGATACCTGGATTACTCGGAGGGGTATGCATTATGTCAAGCGGTTTGAACCGTTTCCTTCATTGATCAGCTGCTATCTGGGATACCGGAGGAATAGTGGTGAATTAAGAGTTTGATTGAAGCGATAAACGTCGTGCTGAACGACTAGTTTTTCTCATCACCACTACATGCCCTTGGCTGGAATTTAGTCGTACAAACCGTATCCAGCTAATGGGAGGGCGTGGCTAATGGGAAGCGTGGCGATTTCAACATAGGAAGAACACGTTTTCTGCTGGATATTTCCTTTTGGGACAACTGTCACCCTAACTTTCGCTGGGCAAATACATAGTCACCATTGTTCCGAAATGGCAGCCTTCCTTCAAAAGTGCAGCCGCCGTCCCGTTCATGAAAAGTGTGCAGCCACGCCCCCCCCCCCTCTGGATATGGAAAGTAGATGATGAGAAATCCGCTGTCATGCATGGGTATTGACCATTATCCTTCTTTCATTATCACTGCAAAGCAGAGGGTTCGTGAATGGCTTTTATCGGAGCGGCACTTGACCTTAAAAATATAGTGACTGGGGTAAAAGTCCCTGAGAGTTCCTTCGCTGAAATTCTAACAACTCAAAAAATTGTCGTCTCATTTTGGAAGGTGCACAGGTTTGCCTTGTCTCTCAACCCCTTTGTCCCTATAATTTGGACTTTCTTAACGACTTAGTTCCAGATCCATTCGTTTTGGCAATTGTTTGACCTGCTGGACAACTCCTTTTCGTCCCCGTCTGTGATCCGGTACGCCTTCAGCCGCTTCGGTTAAGAAGATGCAAGTCCAACGGGCTTTCTCTCAGGGTCACCCGCACTCTGTCCTATATGATCTACATTATTCATTGCAACAGCTGTATTTACTATCTGCTCAGCGCATGGCAAGCATTCGGTCAGATTGCGTACCACGAAAACGGCAAATGGTACCTCAATAAGTGGGTTTACAATAACCAAGGTAGGTGAAGCTTTCTGAAAAAGCAATTTTTGTCGCAACTGGACAGCGCGAGGGCAGAAGTCGTGAACGAGCCCAACCGCGGCTTTTCCACGACTGGTTGTTTTCTATCTGCAAGCGGCTAATACTGGAGGAAATGTATTTGCGCGTGAATTCATTTCACGCCCTCTGACATCGTCCAGCAGTCGGACTGCGACCAACTATAGAGATTTTCAATCATTTATCTGTATTCAAGGTAATGCCTACATACGATGCTTTTACTTCACAGCTGCCGTAGCAACATCAACGGGAAATAATCCGGCCCCGACGAACGTTATTGAGTGAGTTTCTAATTCGAGACTTAATTCTCAGGCCGCATTCAGAGTTAGCGAGAGGAACCCTCAATCAGTCAATAACCGATCGATGCGATCAGTCGATCCGCATCGGTCGATATGAACTTTTACAGCTTCAGATGCTTACCAGCAAGTCGAAAAGGCAAGTCTGTTCCAAAGCGCAGTCCACACTCATTGCGTGAGCGGAATCTGTCAAGCAGTGTGTCTCTCTTAGCCCGTGTTCATACTCCACGACTGGACTGTGGTTCAACCGTTTATTGAGCATTGTATTTCGAGGTCGCGCGACTAAATCGCTCCAGTCACAGTGTGAACACAGCCATGCTGGCATATCTCTCCCCATATGGGCACCATGGTTGACTACCTCCGCCCATACGCCACACTATGTGTAAAAGGTACCAGACCTGTCTAGAAAAAATATCGGTGTGAACGTTGGTCGGTCCCCGAGTTGGGCCAGCTGCGCACCCTGCAGTTCTGAATGAGATTCCATGGAGCGCTTTTGAGCTAGCCTTTCATCAGAGTTTTTAATCTCAATTTTTTTTCTTTTCTACTCGGAAAATAGCAGTCTTTCAGATATGTATATATGACATGTTCGTGGATGATGGGAGTGTTCGTGTTCGCTCTTCTGCTCGGACAGGTGAGATGACGAACAGGGCACATCCTGGCGTCGAAGAGAATTCCCCACCGTCCATAGCCCCACCTTTTCCGCTCATCCAAAGTCCACTTCGCGCTATTACTGAATTTTCGGAAAGTACTGCTATCCAATGTGAGCGGGGAAGGTGTAGGAAGTAAACAGCTCCAATCAACATTCCGATCGTCGTCGAGGGAGGGGGAAGTATATTGCACGTGAAACGGAAAAAAATCAGCACTTAGTGACTACTTCTTGTGCAAAATACAACTCCAATCCCTGCCTCAGAGGCTCCCAAAGGGAGGTATGCCCTGATCGCTAGCGGGATCCTGATGTGCATTGCCAACGCATATCCACCCTAGATTCGCGATATCGTATCAAATGCAAATCGAACTAGAGAGGAATATCGCCGGCAGATGGACATGGCCCTGTCTGAGTGCAAACGTCTGGGATTGCCGAAAGAGTTGACGAATCGCGTACGTGACTGGTTCATCTACACCTGGGAACAGCAAAAGACTCTCGGTTAGTCAGACTCCCGGTTAGACGGCTCTCAAAGCAATTTAATTCTCATAGTTGGCATCTCCAGATGAAAAGAAGCTAATCGAGAAATTGCCACTGAAGCTCCAAACCGATCTCGCTTTATCTGTGCACTACAATACGCTCAGCAAAGTACAGCTTTTCCAGGTGAGCTTGTCTACCTGTACTTATTTCCACCGCTCACATTCAGTGAGATAGTTGCAGGATTGTGATCGAGCCCTCCTGCGAGATTTGGTATTGAAACTTAAGCCTGTCATTTTCCTTCCTGGAGACATGATCTGCAAAAAGGCAAGTATATAATCGATATTGTTCCAGCAGAATTACCATAAATGGCTTGCATCAAAGGGTGCAAAAAACACGTGACAAGCCAATGGAAGGGCTTTCTCAGAGAATGGGACTCCAGGGTGGGTGAGCCACTTGCCATACGTGAGAGCGCAGGAAATTGACGCGATCGACGGCACTGAGTCCCGGTGATCCATAAGCCTATTCATTTACGTGGAGGTGTTGTAGTATGTCGAGTCAACTAGTTAGGAAATACCAGATTGAACAAAAGGTCCTGTGTCATAATTAAGCTGTATAGCCTAGCATAGAACAGTGATCTTGACTGACAAAAAGTCTCCATCTTTTTCAGAGGATAAAGAACTAAAACAATGATTTCAGGGTGATGTGGGCAAAGAGATGTACATCGTGAATCAGGGAGTTCTACAGGTCGTGGGTGGCGAGAACAACGAGACCGTATTCGCTGAACTTCGACAGGGCTCTGTCTTCGGTGAGATTAGGTACGTCACAGGGCATATCCTTGACTCCCACACAGTTGAAATCACACAGTTCGAGCATTTCCCTAAGCGACTGCTATCTCAATCATTCGGGGTATGCTACACTACTGCAACATTTTCTGTCAGGAAGACAGCGTCTAAGTGGAGAATAAGCGGTCAAGGGTCTTTGAAAAGATGCTCCTTATTGAAGTAAGGGAATAGCGACGGCAACCCTGCTTCACGAAGTCAAAAAACGTTTTAAGGCGCTATTCGAGTAAGGAGGGAGGGGGTCGTTAGTTCCTA